CTTCCTTCCTACTGATATTAATTAGCAGAATGAATGTTGGGCAATTAATAGGGTTACAAGAAAAATAACCTCCTTGGATGTTATATTAAAGAGAACATGTAAAAGTCATAATATAAGTATGCAATACAATATCCTTTCCAAAACAACTATAGTACCTGCAATATGGCTGTATCTAGACTTATAGGGGGCAGCCCTCACTAAAATTTTAAATACACAACTTTATTTATGTAAATAATTAAACTATGTCAGAGCCTTACAGAAAAATCATAAGTTTAGGAAAGCATATGGGTGCAAGACAATTTTAGATAAAAATATAAAAGGTAATCAAAAGTATGACATTAATGGTGCTTAGATTTTTAGATCTGAGTTCCTGGTACACAAAATAATTCCATTACTTACTTAAAGGTTATTTGATTTTATCCGACATTTACACATTAATAGCCATTATTAATCAAATGCCACATCTTTCACAAACCATACAGCCAGTACTGTCAATTTTATGAGGACTTTAATAGATTACAGAATATGCTATAGTAATATATTATTAACTCACTAATTTTTTAAGGGGTAAATTACAGAATGCCAAAATACTATTTTTTAACAAGGGTATCACAGCCAGCTTCTCTTCAACAATTTTCAAATAATAGGCAAGAAGCCGTAAGTTCTATTCCTTAACTATACAGATGCAAAATGTGCATCAGTTGCTGAAATCACTAAATATATCTATATATAAGCGTAAGTGACTAAACAAGGTAAAACGGTAAATACACACACACCCACAAATATATAATTGCCCAGCTTTTTCCAATTCCTATTTCTGATTCTGTAGCTAAATGCAAAAAGGAAAATTTGATCTTTTTTGCGTCCTTTTAAATTTGGTTCACTTTCCAATTATATCTGTTTTGGATGCAGAAAGATTCATATGGGCAATATGTATTACAGGCTCCAACCTGAAACTACCAGTAACTTCATAGGGTAGAAGTGAAATCATGACTCCCTCTTCAACTCCACATTTTTCAATATAACCACTAACATTCTGGGTGATCTTATAGAACTGCCCAGTCCTAAAATGCATTCTACATCATTAAGGGACGATTCAACTAGGTTCCATACAACTACACCATTGAGTTAATTTCACTATATCCTAACATTCTGAAAGTTGGTCATCTGATTATTTACCCGAGGTAAATTTAACAAATATTTAAAGAGCACTGACTAGGCTATACACTGAAAGACATAAAGTACAAATACGGCAAGTCAATCAACTTGAAAACTCAATTATTCAAGTCATCAGCGTAGAATTTAAGAATGACAAATATTAGGTTGGTTGGTTTACAATGTGCAATAAAATAAATGCTAAAATTTGAATGTACATTCCATGCATTCTAAGCGTTTTATTTTATTCTTTCATTTAATCCTCTACAGGCAAGAGGACAAGAACCCTATAGGCAAACTGATATTAACCTTTTTTTGAGAAGACGAGAAACCTTAAGTTTACTGAGGTTAAATAACTTGCCAACAATTCACACAGCTAGTAAGTGGCAGTCATTTTTCAGAATAAAACTGTTTATTTAGCATCTAAATCATAAACTGCAGAGAGAGAGCAAACTTATTCCACCTACCACAATGTCTAATCTCAATAAGAAAATCTAACTCAACTGAATTTTTTTAAGTAATTTTTTTTCTCAGTTTACACTAATATCTCTACCTAATGGGTTAGGTATCCTTCTTCTGGGTAACCCACAGTACACCTCATGCAGATCTCTATCATAAATACTGAGCTGTCCTATCCATCTGTTTACGTTATGTCTATCATACTGCTGTAAGCTCCCTGAAGCCAGGACTCTGCCTTATTCATGTTTTATGTCCTCAAGTTCCTATCAAGCGCCATGAACACAGGGAGTTCTGAAAGTGCTGTTCAATGTTCAATCATCATATTAGATCTTTTTTCCATCACCTTCTAAATATCCATTTAAGATATAACCCTGTTGAAAATGGAAAAAGTTGGAACTTAAGTCAAATAGTCTACCTTCTCTTTCATCAATACCGTATCCTAATATTATCTACTCCTCAAGAAAAAATGTTGGAAGGGAAAGTAAGATAAATCTGATCACCTATGAACTGATTATTGCCATTATAAAGAAATATGGACTTCCATAATTAAATAAATGAGGTTTATATCAAGTCAGATAGTGTTGAAAAATCTAGTTCTCTTGACCTTTACACCTAGGACTTTCTTAGGCTTTAAAAAAAAACACAAAAAAAACCAAAAAACCAACCAACCCTGACAGTTGGTTAACCTGTAAAATTCTCATTTTAAAATTTCAGTTCTTCAAATAAGACAGATAATGTACACCCTCAAAACAGCAAATCTGATTAATTTTTTATAGCTTACAGAATATCATGTCTACCAGTTTGACTGCGAGGGTTTTTACAGCAGTAAAATTAACATGACATAAAAATTATCTTGTGCTAATAGATGATATTGCAGAAGTGTAGCATAGTTAAGGCCATGCTAAATGTAAGCATAATATCAAAAATATCAGCAGCAAAAAAAATAATAATAATAAATCTGTATGTGGTTAAAAAAAAAAAAGTAAAGCATTCTGATTAACAAATCATATAGTCATCTCTTTAAAGCCTAAAAATCTTCTCAACTCTAAGACTAACAACTCCCACAACATTGTAAATCAACCATACCTCAATAAAATTTTAATAAATAAATAAATAAACAACTCAAACATCAGTATGTGCCAAACCTTGTTAAGTAGTACTATGAATATCAGACCAACGAACAGGTTACAAGAAAATTCCGTTTCCATACTTACTAAGTATCCATAAATCAGGACAACTGTGCCATATTCAAAGACTGAATTCTAAAATACAGGTTGATATTAAAAACTTGTCATAAGGGTTCACAAATGAGGGTGTTATAACACTATAAGCCAAAAAAAAGGAAGCTCTTTAAATGAGCAGTGCACAGTGACACAAAACTAGTGTCTGTCTCTACAACTACAAGCTGAGTTGACTCTAAAAACTTTAATTTACACCTCTCTAAATCACAGTCCATTTGCCTATACTACTTGAATTTTTAGGACTCTAAAGTATCAAATCCCTCCAACAGCATATTATTGAAGAGATATTTTTTAAGTTTTTTCTTCTTCCATGTGAAAACCAATGTGTTCCTTGAAAAAGTAATCAACATTTCACTTGCACATTCACTATGAAATTATTACCCAGGTTCAATTTCCTTGTATTAACTGTACATATTACCTTGCTTCAGTCTTCTACGGGGCTTTGCCTAGCTAGATAAAACTTTACTGGAGATACAAATATTCTCTCAGTCCTTAACACAATCTAAGTCAGAACAGTAAACTGTTAACATCCACTCCCACCTTCCTCCCACCTAACTGTAATCCACAACCCTCCTGAATGGAAAAGAACAGTACACAAATTCAATCTAGAATCTCGCATCAATCTAAAGTGGTAACAGCATTAAGACTTGTGTAGTGGAACCAAACATCTGGGGAGTGGGACTACAGAAACAATGCAGATTAGTTAACATGCCATCTATCATGCTATACTCTGTAAATCAGAACGTGTCATTACAGTGCTTGAAACGTGACGGTGATTTGGTAGTGGAAATTCTCAGCCTATAAGAGGCACTCAATCTTTTGAAAATTTTGCCTCCCTCATAACCAGCTAGCCTGACACACCTACACGGTACAGGGGTACAGGATTCTCTTTCTTCTAAATCACACCATCCAATAAATCCGCACACATCTCTCCTTGTAGTAAATACTGATAAAACTCCTGGTTTCATTTAAGATTTCATTAAACACTGATATCCAACGCAGACTTATGTACCAGTAAAAATGTCTCAGGTAAAACACGCTTTGAGCAAGCCTAAGTTTTGTTTCTGCACTTTCCTCACCAAGTAAGAGTCATCGAATGAATAACGTCCTGCAGTGTTCCGGTATTACCAAAAGACAGAGCCAGTCCCCAAAGACCGGTGGCCTTACTTTCCCACATCGCCGCCTTCCATTAAGGATCACTTAAGTCCACCTCTCTTGCATGAAACGGAGATCTTTCTTTTTCTGTTTTTTAAAGCTATTCTTAACAAGTAGGCTTCTAGTCTCTGATACCTAGGAAGTGAACTTACAAAGAGACTACCTCCCAAATATGACAAAACTATAAGACAACGTGGGAAGAATGGGAAGAGGCGTGGGGCTTGTTTTGATCGGAACAGCTGGGGCACGGTCAATGCAATCAGGTATCTTACACATACATCGAAGTCCTGAGGACAAATAGCGTTTGCTAAAATAAACACAGTGAGACAGACGTCCCACAAACTGGAAGGCAGCGACGGGCTCAATGCGATCCAGAGGCTGCCAGGGCAGAAAGTGGCCGGAGGACCGAAGAAAACTGTAGGGGATGCTGCAGGGTGGGCTAACATGGTGCTTCTCCAGGGTGGAAGGCGATGAGGTGTGGGAACCCGAAGGCTTCATTCCGTCGAGCTCTGGTTCCTAAAGGTATCCTGGCTCACAGCTCAAGTTTCACCCGGGAAAAAAGGAGGCGGCAAACGTGCATCCCATCACCTTAGCCCCAGCACATAAGTCCGCGCTCTCGGCTTCCTCCGCGAATAGGCGAGGAAGTAACGGTCCCCGGAGCAAACACGGAGGAGCCAAGCGCACGAAGCACTCGGCGTCCGGGCGGAAAGCGCCGTCGCCGAACCCCAGCCCGCAGCGTGGGGAGCGGCGCGGCCGCGAGCGAGGAGAGCGGGCGGCCGGCGCCGCACTCGCCGGCCCCGGCCCTTCCCCGGCCTCGCCCCAGGCGCGGCGAAAAGTTTCCAGCCAAAGTCCGCGGCACCCGCTCGCGCAGCCAACCGCCGAACACAACCGCTTCCCGCCCGGGAGAGCGGCCCACACCGGCCCGGCCGCGGCCCCGGGACCCTCGGTCGCGCCTCCCTCAGCCCACACCGGCAGCCGAGGTTCACCTACCACAGAGCCGGGAGAAGAGCAGCAGTGGGAAGAGCAGCAGCAGCAGCGGCGGTGGCGTCGGGGGCGGCAGCAGGAGCCCGGCCCCGGGGGGAGAAGCGGAGGAAAGTTGTGCTTTGCCGCCTCCGGGACACAGCGGAGCCGGCCCCAGGGTCCGCGCCATCCCCCACCCTCCCCCCGGCCAGCTCGCTCTCCTGCCCCCCGGCTCCCCGGGCCCCGGCGCCTCAGGCTGTGGGCGGCGGCGGCGGCGGAAGGTCCGGTGCGCGCGTCTCTAACTCCCAGTTCTTGAGCCGTCGCCGCCGGCTGACACTCAGCCGAGCACTCGCGGCTGCTTCAACTCCGCCGTCGCCGACGCCACTGCAGAGGCTGAGGCGGGAGCCGCCCGCCGCCGCCGCCGGCACCACCACCGCCACTCCCCTCCCCCCACCGGCACCCGCCCGCCTCGAACTCCTGGGAACTCGGAACGCACCACCCCGCCCGCACGGGAGGGGGAGAGGAAGCCGACCCTCAGAGCGCAGGGTCTCGCCCGCGCAACTCGCGCTCCCGTCTGATCCGGGAGTGAAAGCCCGACTCCTCCCACCCCGCCCTCCTACACACGCCCCTCCCCTTTCAAAAAAACCCAAAATCTCTTTTCTCCTCTTTGATAACGGGGTTTCTCCGAAAGCAGGGCTTTAAAGAGGACAGGAAAATCTGGAATAGGTTAGTAGGCCCCGCCCCTCGCTTTCCTGCTTCGTCCCCCTTCCCAGCGTTTCCAATGGTCTCGCCCACTCCGCCCCTTGCTGGTCCACCGCGGCCCCTGCTCAGACCGAGGCGGAGGGCGGTGGGACAGTCCAGCTCGTAGCTAGGCTCCCCTGAGCGGCGCTCTCCCTCTGGCGGGGACCGGACGAGAGGCGGGGGAGGGGAAGGCACGATAGGGCTGTCTTTCCGTTGCCCATGCGAAAGATTCCTGTCTGGGAAGCTGGACATAGTGTGCCGGACTAGTCATCTCCCTCCTCGCCGAGGGCTGAAAGGAGAGACTTTCTCCTCCTTCCTGCTTCCCGGGACAGCTGAGCTCTCCGAATCCCTCCTTTCTTCCCAGCCCCACGTCCCCCCACCAGTCTGCCGAGGCACGTTTGCACAGGCGTTTTTCTTGCCCCTTTCTCTGGGTGGGCAGTTTGGTGAAAGGGTCAACGGAGCCGGGAAAGGAGAGGGGCCCCAGAAGGTTTGCTTTTCTCACTCTCGCTTCTTTGACCGCCAGGCTGTCCGCTATCCTCCCCCGGCGACTGGCAACAGGAGGCCTGGATTTCCCCGATCGGAGTGCCTGTAGTGCCGTGGTGGTTTCCTTTGGTTTTGTTTCATTTGCATGTTCGCACGTGTAATTTTATTTTCACTGCCTGTTTTCCTATGAACTGATCGCGGGAAAGCGACCTCGGGAAGTGCTAAACACGTGCCCGTGAGAGGAGCGTCCGTGATCCACCACCACCCTCCTTCACCCCGGCAGCTGCTCGCCTTGACCTCTTTATTTGCCCGCCACGCACAGCCCTGGTGGCTTAACCTTGGAGCCACAGCCATCGGCGGTTCTGCGGGGGTGGTGGACAGTTTCGACTGTCCTGAGGGGGGCTAGAGGCAGAGGACACAGGTTCTCAGTCCTGACACCATTAATTTTATGTTGGTCCTGCCGTCGCCTCCAGAGAGCCACAAATGTGTTCCAATAGGAAGAAAGTCAAACAAGGATTTAGCCGCCTGTCGCAGCTAAACTAATGCTTGTCTGCCGCCAAGATCACGCTGTCCTCCCCCTTCAGTCACTAGGGTCTCCCCGACCTCCATCCACTGACTTACAATGTTTTACTCATCTCCAAGGCTACACACAGTTCTACCCCCTGCCCGCCGCTCTTTTTTCTTTCTTAATTTCCGCCTCCCAACCTCTCTTCCAGCGCTGGGTTAAAATACCTCTTTTCCTCCACCCCTTTTTTTTCTCTCTCGCAGTCTATGCCTGTTGCCTCTGTCGTCCCCTGTAAGCCTGTCTCCTGCAACCACTCCTTTCCATCACCTAGTTTCAGGATGCACTTATGAAGAAACCTTGTCCTGCGTTGCTCCTAGAGATGCCCTGATGACGATCATAATTGACGAAATGTAGCTATTGTGACATTCCTCAGCTGTGCTGACACCACCGTTTCCCTTGAGAAAATTTCTTTTCCTATTTTCGCATTCCCTAAACCTAATTTCACAGTTAAATTTAGACAGAGCCCACTGCACAGCGAGTAGCTAATTATCTGTTTAAATAGCACTTTAACACGTTGTTGATACTCAGTTAAATGTTAAACAACCAAAATTTTAATGTCCCTAGCAAATTTCATTACCGTAGCCTTTCCCTGATGGTTCTAGCCTCCAGGAAAAAAGTAATTTAGCCAACATTTGAAAAGGTGCCAAAGGCTTAATATGGGGGCCATAATGCAATTGCTACAGAGACCATGAGGGATTAGCAGGTTTAGTGCTTCTCAAAAGGATGATATGGAGCTTTAAAGAATATATTTCCTCCATATTTTGAGAATTGGATTAGTGGCATGCTATTCTCCTCTGACCTAAAGTGAAGAGTGCATGGAAGAGCAGTATTTATACATGTTATATGAGCATGAAAAGAACACCACGCTGGTGTTTTACGTGCATGCATACATTATGTTTTAATAATAATTTGTGTTAATATATCATCTTCAGCCAGAGAAGTCAAAGCAGGAAATTACTATATCCCTACTTGACAGCCAGAGGAACCTAGGTACAGAAGTTAAGTGCAAACACTACAAGCCATGTGTGGTGGTCTCCCCGCCAGAACCAAGTTCTTGCCTTCCAGTAGACACCACTGACCTCTCAAGATTCCTTTTAAAAAGTTAAAAACAAGTTGACTGAGTTAACTCAAACTTCTACTTTCTAAGAGTCCAGTCTCAAATTACATTCTCCTCAAATGAAGACATACCCACCTCAAGCTTTCCTGTAGGAAATTATTACTAGCGACAGAAAAAGATTTTATATTATGTGGTACAACTCACTTTCTTCAAGGGCCAGAATTACTGTTGTTTTTTTAAAAGGCTTTAACATGAGAGTATAACTGGGTTATACCATTTTCAGGCGTCTGACAGATAAGTTCACCTTTATTGTTTGAGTGACAAATTGGTTGAAGGAAAGTTAATCATAGCTAACATTAATATTTCTGGCACCATTGAACCCAAAGTATGCACGTATTTTCCAAGAAAAAAATTATCTGAACAAAAAGCAACATAATCCTAATGCCAACAGTGATTTCATTGTTTTGGGTTAAAAGTACTGATGGTGTCCATCCCACTTTATGCCTTAAAGACTGTTGGCCAATTATTGAGTTTCATTAACTCAACTAAAAAATGAAGGTCGACATCTCAAAAAAGACATAATTATGTACAGTTTGGGGCATTTTACATTTACTCAAGTAATCCAAATTAAAGGTTTGAGGCTATAAGAGTTTCATAGCTGACTCTAAAAGAAGTATTTTTTAGTAGAGGTGTACTTCAGCTAGTCCTTTTACCATCAGCAATTTTTTTTATAACCTGCTACGTGAAGAAGTATAGCTTTTCCCTCAGTGGAAGAGATGAGCAATGCTTTGTGGAATGTTTGAATTGGCACTATATTTGACAGTAAGTTGATGTTACCCAGCTAGAATCACAGTCTTTTATAGCAAAACTATGCAAATAGTTAAAAACAAACTGCAAACCCACAAAAAAGTCCACCCACTTTAATCAACTACAGCTATTTCCTACTGAAAATATCTTCCCCCATATATTCATACTGCTTTCTCCCTCTTATTTCCTTTGGGTCTTTGCTCAAATTGCATTCTATCATTGAGATCATCTATGACTACCCCATATGAAAGAGCTGCCCCCATCTCCAATCCCTATTTCCCCCACACACAACTTGCTTTATTATCTCCATTGCACTCACCATGTGACACATTATATCTTTATATATTGTGTGTTTTCCCTTCACTAGAAGGAAAGTTCCCCAAAGATGGGCAGGGACCTATTTACTTTTTCACTGTTGAAACCCAACCACCTAGAACCGTATCTGCCATATAGCTCCCAGATTGGATGATTAAATGATAACTGTAGTGACATAGCATACTCCAGTGCATATCTAATGGAAGACAGACTCAACAGAATAATATTAATTTTTTAAGGTCTTGAGTATATGATCATGTTGAATTTTTCAAGCTGCAAGATGGTTACTCTAACTGACCATGGCTTACCACTCTTGAATTAATTGCTCTTAGTGCTACTTATTAAGCTATCATCTCTCCACTCCATATTCACTCTTAATACTGGGGCTGGGGCTGTGCAAACATATGTCTTCTTTGCCAGTTATTGATAGGTTCGATCAACAGAAGTCATTAGAGGGAGGGTGGTAGGTAGGAGTTGGGGAGAAGACATTTGTTCCTTTCTGTTTGCTTCCTGCTATCAGCATCACCTCAGCAGCAATAGCCCTTCTTCCTGTCATCAGCAGTTGGCTCCAGCCTCCCGCTTTTACACTGTAAGAACCAGACTCATCACAGCACATCGGAGTTACCAGCACCAGCTAGGCTATGCCTACTTCTCAAAGATCCATGCCCTAGCCAGTGAGATCTGTCCTCTGAGTTTCTTAGTTCTAATAACCCAAAATTTTCCCTTTGTTTCCCTAGCCTTAAGGTGGTAACGGCTTCCTACGTTACATATCTCTGAATCACCTCAGTGTTCCCCTTTTTGGAATGGAGCCTCCCCTTCATGCCCTGTGTAACAACACCCTATTATTAAGTTCCCTAGGTGACATAATATAGTTTCTGTTTTCCTGGTTGAACTTTGATTGATGCTCTATTTTTCGGTGACTATTTCCCAAAACTTTCCCTTATAACAGTTTTTTTTCTGTAAGCCAAACTGTTTAAAATCACAGAGCCCACATCAATCTGTCAATTAATAGAGATAAAAGCAATAAGGCAAATGAGCAAAATTTGTTCTATTTCATTGACCATAATCCAAGTTAAGCAGAGGCAGGTTTGAAAGAAGTAAATTTGGAGGTAATTAGGCTGGTGTGTTAGTCATATATGCATATGATTTGGGTGTTTTTTGGTTGATGTTCCTGATCTAGATCATGGTAAAGACAAATAGAAATTTGAAATATTAGGTTGTTTAGATTTATTTTACAGACCTTGATTGCCCTTGAGAATCATTATGAAACTAAAAGATAAGAGGATTACTTGGGGGCTTCCCTGGTGGCGCAGTGGTTGAGAATCCGCCTGCCGATGCAGGGGACACGGGTTCGTGTCCCGGTCCGGAAAGATCCCACATGCCGCGGAGTGGCTGGGCCTGTGAGCCATGGCCGCTGAGCCTGCCCGTCCAGAGCCTGTGCTCCGCAACGGAAGAGGCCACAACAGTGAGAGGCTCGCGTACCAGAAAAAAAAAAAAAGGATTACTTGGGAAAAGAAGAATTGAACTTCTCTCTTAAACCTACAATGAAAACATACATCACATAGCTATCTAAAGGCTAACTCTATTTATAATATACAACTCTTTGTAGGGGCACTAGA